ACCTGGGTTCATTGGGAGGGGAAGCCGACTCCTCTTCCTGGTGAGAGAACTTGCAAGTCCGGTGGATCTGGGAGGGCCAAGCTGCCTCGCTTAGTGATGGGGGATGGCTTGAAAGACTTCTCAGGCTTCTTGGATTGCGTTGGAGGGGTGAGAGGAATGGAGAAAATAACTGGCAGTAGAAGCCTCGTTTAATGGGGAGGGGGCCTCTACTTAGAAGAGGAACATATTTTAAATTACAAGGGAAATGAGCTAGAACTCTGTTTATATGTGTAAGGGGAAAGGTATCCGTGTCGTAAATATATCTCGTGTGTGTGGGTGCGTAAGCAATTTTAAGAGAAAAACCATACTGTTAATTAATTGAGCATTGGTGTGCATGAGGTACCAGGCTTGGGGAAGAGGAGAGAAGTAAAGCAGTGCTTTCCAGCCTTTTATTGTACCACCCGAGTTCCCCCCAGCTACTCGCAAAATAAAGTTAATTGACGGGATTGTTCGAAGAGCACCCAGTGTGTCCTGTAAACCCCTGAAATAGAGATAGAAGAAAACAGGTAAGAGGGAAGAAAAGTCAACAGATAAATAATAGAAAATCCGTTCCCAGAAGATTGTGGGTCATTGCACTTGATTGCACAGAGCAGCCTGTGGGGTGGGCATTGAGAGAAAGTGGCTGAGTGTATAGACCCTAGAGCCAGGTGGCCAGGTTCAGATCACAGCTCACCATTCTCCTGCAGTGTGAGAGCAGGCAGGTTCCTGTGCCTGTCTGTGCTTTTCCCCAGTTGCCACAGGGAGCTAATAGCAGTACCTGCCTCGTCAGGTTGTTGTGAGGACTGTGTCAGGACAGGGTTGGCCCTGCGAGTAGCACGTGGTGTGTAGGAAGCACTCAGTACATACCAGCCATTTCTCTCTCCACCACTTCCCTCCTTACCTTATGCCAGATGCAAACATCCTGCCCAGTATGGACTGTGGGCAACTGACCAAATAAGCAGAAGGAGCGGGGCCTTTTCTCCCCCTGGGCCCCGGGATCGTTTATGCATTGGAATTCTAGGTAGGAGGAGGCCTCCGTGGACATCTGGGCTCCCATCAATCAGTGGGTTCCCACCCCACGCACACACTTGTCCATATCCCGACATGCTTTAAAAATCGGTTCCACATTTAAAGCATGTCAAACTAGATTTTAGTTTTATTCTCTCCTATATATTTGGAATTAGAACCTCAGAGGCCATTATGCAAATCAATGTAAATGACATGCAAAGAGGCCCATAGACCGAGATGGTAGGGAGCAGAGTGAGCAGGCAGTTCAAAGGGCCTTGGGCCAAAATTTGCATCTGTCAAGGGGTTGAAGGCCTTGCACAGCTACTGTGACAGTAGGCTGCCCTTTGCACTCTGTTGTGCCCAGGAGGAGAAGTCAAAGTAAACCCGGGCCTGATTTCCCTACTGAAGGTGACAGTGGAGGTTGAAGGTGTTTGGACAGTGCAGCATTGTAGCCATTTTTATGATGCAAATGAAAAGTTGCTTGAAAATAATAGCTAAGATCCGGGCAGTGTCCCCAACCAGCTGTGTGTTCCTGGGCAAGTCACTTCACTCCTCCCCTTATCCCCTCTGTGAGTGAGGAGATGGAATTAAGATACCTCCAGGGCCCTTGCACTGTGACAGCTACATGTCTTCCCCCAGGTGAAAACTCTTTGCAGCCAGGATGGCAGTATCCATTCATTGTTCCAAAGGTTTACTCTAAAGTCCAAAGAAGAAATGGTGACGAGGTCATTTAACTGTCCTCCTAGAGAGAAAACTAACTTTAGGGTATGCAAAGGAAACAGATTTCCTAACATTGTAAGTCTGACAGCAAGAAGGGTTCCAGTCAGATACTTCCCAGCTGGAAGGGTTCTAGCCCCTGGGATGCTCCTGGCAGGAAAGTCAGGGGAATTTCTTTCCCTGAGTTTATAAAGACCAGGATGGGTTAACCCCTCTGCCTCTAGAATGCTGCAAAGTCCTGGAGGCCAGGTGGCTCCTGTCCCACCCAGGCCTGTCACTGGGGTCAACTGGGGGCTCTCTGAAAGCTTTGCCCTGCCCTTTCTGCTGCCACAAGACCGCTGTGTCCTTGGCCTCTGGCCTCTAGTTGTATCCAACACATCTGGTGCTCTGCCCAGGAATTCTCTGGGCTCTTAATCTTAACTCCAGCTGTTGTGGCAGCCACCAACTGAGTGCAGGTGGAACCAGACGGCCCCTCCCTGACTCAGCCCCGTGGGTGGTGCAGGCTAGAGGGAGTGCAGTGGAATGAGCCTTCAGGGAGCAGCCTTTGGCAGTAGGGATGGGAGCTGCAGGGTGCGTGCTTTTCTTACATGGACAATTTGAGGTGCATCTACTCAGCTCCTCAGAGGACCCCGGCGAATTTGAGTTGCCCACTCTAACCAGCTCATAACTTGCCCTTGGATTGACTTTCCTGTTTCACTCACCTCAGACCAGACCTCCACAGCCGTCCCCTCAGATCACTTCCCAAAATAGACTACCTGCACGCAAGCCCCTGCCTCCACCTCTCTTTTTTGTGGGGTCTCTAATGTAAGACACTTACTCGGGCTGCCATAACAATGTACCATAGACTAGGGGCTTAAACAGCAGCAATTAGCTTTCTCACAGTTCTGGAAGCTGGAAGTCCAAGGTCAAGATGCTGACGGTATTGGTTTCTAATAACACCTCTCTCCCTGACCTTCCGAGGCTGCCCTCTCGCCGCGTCCTCTCGTGGCCTTTTCTCTGCACGGGCATTCGAGTATCCCTGATGTCTCTGTGCCCTCATCTCCTCTTGTTGCCACGACACCAGTCAGCCCACAACCACGGCTTCCTTTTACCTTAATCACCTCTCTAAAGGCTCCACTTCCAAACAGCCACTCTCTGAGGCGCGGGGCGCTAGGGCTTCAATATAGGAATGTGGGGGTACACAGTTCAGTTCATAACCACACTTATCGTGAACCAAGGCACTCAGGAGCCAAGCAGAGGCTTTTAAGGGAATGAATGTCCTCAAAACATCAGAGGTCTCCATACCAGTTCTTAGGTCGCCCCTGTGCTTTAAGCTGCAAGGGGAGGCTGACCAAGCCGGAGCTGGCTGGAGCATAGCTGTACGTTGTTTCTTGGTCCCCTTCCTCCTCCTCCCATGTCATTGGTGATGTTTAACTGGGAGAATTATGCATTTGGGATACATCCTTGTTTCATGTACTTCTGATACTGCAGGACTTCGAACATGTCACCTAATCTCCCTGAGCCTCAGTTCTCTGCCCCAGTGAGCGGCTGAGGATTGAGTCACATGTGAGAGGCTGGGCTGGAGCAGGGCACAGTAAGCAGCTCTCAGGACTGGCTTGCATAAGCAGAGCGCACTGTCGATGTACGAGCTAGGTCATGAATGGACGTTTAGAAAAAATAGGTGGTTCAGGACAAATTGCTGGTCCTAGAGATCATGGGTGCCACAGTTTTTGTTGGATCCGCAGTCCCTCAGCCTCCCCCAGCCCCAAATTGAGTAGTACAGGGTAGGGGGACACTGTCAACTCCAAGACCCAACCCCACACCTGGAGGTGGCCCCAGGCTTGATCCTGGGCCTTGTGTCAAAGGCCTGCCAGGAGATGCTCTCCCCTCTCTGCTTCCTGGGAGCTCACAGAGCCCCTGCCTTCCCCGGTCAGCAGCTTTGCTGATTGTCCCAAGCTCCCAGGAATCACCACCTGGGCCCAGCTTCAGCCATCAGCCCTGCTGGAATGTGGTAGCGGAGAGATGCTCCAAGAGAGTGACCAGATAGAGACAGTTTCTGCTCCACCATTGCCAGGCGGCCAGCAGGGCTGAGGTAAGGGCATGAGAGGGACCAAGCGGGGCTCATATAAGCAAGCAGGAGTTCACAGGTCAGAACAAGCCTCAGAGGCCACTCCTCGGCAGGACGGACCGGATCTTTCCAGGCCTCATGTTGTTCGGGGGTGGCCAGTCTTCCAGTCTGTCATCTGAATAGATCCGTGTCTCACATTTATGTGAGGTATTATTTTTAAAGATAGGCACATGCTGTTGTGATTAATAAAATCCACACATATTTAGAATTTTTTTAAATTTATGGTTTTCTTTTTGCACATTTTCTCAATGAACTAAAAGCATATGCACTGACCATCAGGCAAAATCTGTTTCTTTCTTTTAATGCTCAAAAGCTCCTTCTCAAAAAGTCTGGGCATCACCAGGGATTTCCCACAGAGTTCAGCCAAGTGAGTGCCATGGGAAAGCAGGTAGCACCAACGACACCATAAAGCCAGCTGGCCTTCCTGGGACATCTCTCCCAGTCCCTTGTGCTGGTGCTGTGCAGGCATCTGGCCTGGTCACCTTCCTCTGGACCCCTGTCCCCTCTACTTGTCACTCTCTAATGGCACCCTGACATCCATGCTATGTTGTAAGTTTGTTCTGGATTTGTGCAAGCTCACTCAAGAACAGAGACTGCCCTGTTCGCTTCTGTCCTCCAGGGTCCAAGAGAAGACAGACCCTCCCTGTTTGTTCGTTGAGTGGGCCTGACTGGACAGAGGTCTGGCACTTTTGTCTGGTGCGTGAAGGGCAGATTGAGGAAAGACATGGGAGCCGGTTGGCTCCGCCCATCTAAGCCTTCCTCATCCCACTCAGAGTGGCTCCCACAGAGCTGGCCTTTACCGCTTCTGGCTGCAGAGGGCCAGCAAGGCACTCAGTGTTCTGAGGAGCTGCCTCGGGCAGAGGGCTGGTGGCATTGAGGAGGCATTTGGAAAAGGATGGGCCTGGCCAGTTTCTTTGGCTCTGTTCCCTGGGGCTGGGTTCTCTTCCCAGCAGTGCTGGGTGGCACCTCCCTAACAGACCCACCCAAATCCACATGATCTGGGTCTGATGAGGCTCAGGGCATCAGTGTGGTCTCAAGGATGCTCCAGTGTTTCCCTTGAGTTCTAGCGCATTGCAGGTTCCCAGGTTAGGGAGGCCCAGGCGCTGAGCTGCTCCCAGATTTCACCTCTTCTCTCTGTCTCCCTCTCAAGGCTTCCTCCTGACCTTGGCACTGACTGAAGCTCTGGTGTTTGCTGCCCAGGAACCGTCTCCCGGGGAATCTCTTCAGGTCCTACCTTCAGGCACCATGGTGACAGCACTGCTCAGCTCTACCAGACACTCATCCCTGGCAGCCATCCCCACCTCCGTGGTGACACTGAGCCCCCACCCTGATGGGTCCTTCTCACAGGCTGAAGCCACCATGGCAACAACGACACCCCATCCAGATGGACATCCTCCCCCAAACACCGTCTCTACCATTATGGATACAGCGACCACCCGCCATGCTGATGGCCCCCAGACCACCGAGCCCCTTTCTGCTGCCATGACAACCACCTCCTCGCACTCAGAGGGCCACCTCCTGGGGGAGGCTGGGCCCACCGTCCTGCTGACAAAGCCAGCTGCAACCACCAGCCGCCCCAGCACAGCGCCCCCCCGGGCAAACACGCGCAGGCCCCCCAGACCTCCCGGCTCTGCCCGAAAGGGGGCTGGCGGGTCACGCCCTGTCCTCCCTGCACTCGGCGGCCACGGGGGAAGGAAGGAAGGCCAGCGGGGCAGAAACCAGAGCTCCACACACCTGGGGCAGAAGCAGCACCTGGCAAAAACCTTTCCGCTCTTCAGAGGCAACTCCACAGGGTCTGCGGAGCCTGAGCCCTCCACCCTCACCCCCAGGAACCCACCCTGGGATTACTCCTCCTCACCACAGATCCAGACAGTGGCCCGAGCCACGGTGCCCAGCAGGACCACGTGGGCACCAAGCACTACCCCCTTGGTGCACGCAGAAGACAAGCCAGGCCTTAGCAGAGCAGACCCAGGGGGTGGTCCCACCTTCACCAGCCCAGGAGCGCAGCCCGATGCCACAGCAGCCTCAGGTGCCCCTGCCAGTCCACAAACTGCCCCAGTGCCTTCTCAGCACCCCCGTGGTGACCCACATGACAGCTCCAGCCACAGTGACTCCTGGCTCACTGTCACCCCTGGAACCAGCAGACCTCCATCTGCCAACTCGGGGGTCTTCGTGGCCGCCACGGGGCCCACCCAGGCTGCCTTCGATGCCAGTGTCTCAGCCCCTTCCGAGGGGCTTCCTCAGGGAACATCCTCAATGACATCCTCAGCCCACCCACCCGGGATCTCAGAAAGCACTGTCTCCCCAGCCGAGAAGGAAGCTGTGGCTGCCCCCACCGTGATCGACACAGTACCCAGTCCTCTCTCCACAGTGGTGTCCACGGCCACAGGCAACTTCCTCAACCGCCTGGTCCCTGCAGGGACCTGGAAGCCTGGGACAGCAGGGAACATCTCCCATGTGGCCGAAGGGGACAAACCCCAGCACAGAGCCACCATCTGCCTGAGCAAGATGGACATTGCCTGGGTAATCCTGGCCATCAGTGTACCCATCTCCTCCTGCTGTAAGTGCCGTGCCCTCTCCCCACTCCTCCCTCCCTTCCTTCCTCTCCCTCCACCAAATCAACTTGCCTGGCCCCAGAATCCCTTTGCCCCAGGGTTGGACAGTCCCCACCAAGTGGGCTGCAAAGCTTTTCAGAATCCCAGGAAACAAGGAGGCAGGACAAGAATCACGGATTGTCCCTGCCCCTGGTCCTCAGCTCTGCCAGGCCACCGCTCAGGTGCCCACTGGTCATAAAGGCACAGCTGGGGAGAGCCGTGCAGGGAGTCCAGTTTAACCTTGCATTTTGCAAGAAGAAACACCAAGCTGAAGAGGCGGCGTGGCTCACGCAGGACCCCAGAGTTAGTGAGAGGCAGGCTGGGATGAGAGCCCAAAGTGCTCGTCTCTCAGCCCAGTGCTCTTTTCAGGACACCACCCTGCCCTCGAGGGTAGCGTGTTCCTGCCTGTAGTGACAGGGCAGCAAGACGCCTGGGTGAAAGTGGGCACTTGCACATTTACAGCAGAGCCCTCACCTCCCTCTCCTGCATCACTCTCATCTTCCTTCCTGTCTTTCCTCCGCTCCCTCATCTCTTTCCCTCCTCTCTCTCTCCCTACGCCCCCAAGAAAGAAGAGGTGATGGGCTTTGATCTTACAGGAAGTTCTATTAGTCCTGGCAAAAACATAGTGCTTGCAGCTAAACTGAGGCTGCAGAGTTACCTGTGAATTGAGCCCTTCCCTCCCTCAGTGTTATGTGTTCACGGATGGTGTGAGCTGGATGCGTGTGGGCTCATTATAGTCTTCTGCTTCCCCTGATGGTGGAGGAAGACTCTCCCCAGGTGACCCGCACCTCCTGGCTGCTGCCTGCGCTCCTTTAATGAGGAGTTGGGAGGCTTCCTCCCTGATGCCTCCATAAAGAACTTGATGTCATCGCTCTGGACCTTAGGGCTCCCTTTATGTCTTCCCCAGGTACCTGAGTCTGGATTCTTAGAGTTTCTGTGATAACCTCCCAAGAATCCTCCCTGATCTCAGCCCCACCCCCAAACAGTTAGCATCCAGCCTCCCTCTGAACCCTCCAGGTGAGAAACGCCCTGTGCTCCCCACTCCTTGGACAGCCCATTCTCCCTCAGGTTGCTACTCAGCTCTCTTGGGAGCCTGTCATTTGCCTCCTTGTCATTTTGATGCTATGGTCCTAAGCCATGCCCTCTGAAACTACACAAAACTAGCCAGCCAGCCACCCCTGAAACATTTGAAATAGCGCTCTCAGGGTCAGTCTTCTCTTTTCCCAGCTACCTGTCCCTGTCCCTGTATGCCTCTTCACGGGGCTGCATGACCCTGCCCGGCCCCCACCACCTGCCCCTCTATCTGCCTCCAGTTTATCCTGCTCCCCCAGGAGGGAGAGGACAGCATCCAACATGCTCAGCCACCAGAGGGGATTGGATGGGGTCCTCTCTTCAGTCAGCACACACCGGCATCAGCATTGTTGGGTGTGTTGACTGTCACGTCCCACCATGGTTCACCCAGATCTCCAGAGGAGAGAAGCCCCAGAACCTTCCCACAGAGGAGGCTGTAAGCCAGGTCATTGATATCAGGGCAGGGGGTGTGCCTCTAACATGAACACGATTTCCGCTTGGCATCAAATCCCAACAAGATCCTTTTCATCTAGATTCTGGATTCTTTCCAGGAGCCTCCGCTCCCAGCTCTCTGTCTCCTTCCAGCTGATAAGCAAAGACAACTTTCCATGTCAGGGGTGGGCAGCCTGCTCCTGCTCAGGGACCCAGTTCAAGGAAAAGTGAAAATGTTTGCAGGTTGCATATTTTACTGTTTCATGAGGCAGCCTTATTGTCTCTCATGGAGACATACATGTATTCTTAAAACTGTGATTGCCCACTTCTAAAACAGAAGACTGATAGTGAGGAAATATTGCACTATTAGCCAATAAAGAATTAATAGTGGTCAAGCAGAGAAGTAACCACAGTAGAGACAGCTTTCTAACTTTCCATTCTAGAGGCTCTAGTTTACAAAGTAAATTCCCATTTTTAATCATTCCAGCCTTAAAACAGACTGGCCAGAGGAAAAAAATAAAGACAGAAACAAGGAACACATCTTACAGGTGGGGAGTAAGTCACCAGATGAAGTGACTGCCCAGGGCCCCCATCACACACAAGTGCACCCAAATCTGGGGGTAGAGTCTGTTTGTCTGATCGAACACTATTTCCTGAGTGCCCATTATGTGCCAGGCACTGTGCCAGGCACTAGGGAGTCAGAGATGTGTGATGCGGCTCCCCCAGAGCCCTCTCCCCACCTGGCTTCCTCTTTGCCTGGGCCAGACAGCAGAGAGTTGATCTAGCCTTTGCCCCTACAGTGCACACCTGGGTTTTGCAATTCTAAAAAGACTTCTCCAGCCCTTTTGCTATGTATGAGTGTGAGATCAAATCAGATCTTACTGCAAAGCAAGAAAACCCATGAGCCGCCTGAGCTGTGCATAGTAACATCAGCCTAGATAGAAGCAAGGACGCAGCCTGGAACCGCACCTCAAGATGCTTCTGGCACTGACAGCCTTCAGGTGCTGGGGACAGGACATATACTTCGTCAAGGATGGTACAAACCGTTTTTCAGAGTGGACTGTTGTAGCCCCTGGGAACCTCACACCCCACTTCCTTTGGCGTCTGTCCTGCATTTCCATTCACCTGAGCTCGCTCACCAAGGCTCTGCCTCAGCTCTGGCAGCCTCCATGTACAGCTCCCTGTCCTCAGCCATGGCCCTCACTTCACCTGTGAAGACCCAGAGGAGAGGAACATTAAGATAGGATACTTGTCAGACTGCAGAACACGGTGCTCTTTCAGAGCTCAAACGAGGGAGTATCCAGACTGTTTTCATAGCTCTACCCCACTCTAGTCATCAGGTGAGCAGACCTCTTCCAGATCTAAAGGGACCCCCCACCCCCATCTCAGACCTTCCCAGCAGCAGCATTTATCCTAAAGCTCACTCTACAGCCTTCAATGAAGAGCTACCTCCTTTGCCATTTTGCCAGGCAGTTCGGGCAATCTTGGTGGTAGCAAAGTACATGCACAGATTTTCTCACATCTGGCTTTTCAGATGGGCCCTGGCCCTGCTTTTCTTCATCTTCCAGAAACCAGACTTCAGATGGCCTGGGCAGGTGGGTGACTCCCCTGCTGTGGCAGAGGCAAGGGGCAATCATAGCAAACCTCAGGCCTGCCCAGTGGGGATGCCATCGGTTCCCCTGCCCGTCCAGATCTGAGCCCTGCCCAATGGCTGAAGAATGTGGGCGCCAGGACTACGGAATGCTTTGTCTCCTGAGCCAGGCCAGAGACAGCCACGCAGGGTTTCAGATGGCTGAGAAGCAGAACTGATTGGATCCAGGCCACATGGGGCTAGGGCAGGGGAGCACTGTGGCTCCTGAGCTGGTCTCTGCTGCCACCCTCAGGACACAAGAGCCACCACCTCCGTGGGAGTGCCTGAGCCTGGCACTGAATGGATCCTCGCTCACCGCTGTCAGCCCCTGGGTTCTCACCAGGAGGTCAGCTGTGTGTCTCCAGCAGGCTCCCTGGCCTGTCCTGCACATGCCTTGAGAATGCCTTCACCCAGCCTCCCTGGGAAGATATGGGGGCCATGGAAGGTGAGAGCAGGAGCAAGGCCAGCTGCATGCTTTCATCACAGCCCAAGCTGAGCCTGGCCAAGGGAGAAGCGGAGAAGCAGAAGCGGAGCCACACCTCCCCACCCCCGTGTGAGGGCCCAAGTGCACCTTGCCCAGAGTGTCTGCTCCCTCCCACACGTGTGGTGAACGTCACTGGAGTGTCCACGCAGAATTCAAAGAGACCTATCCGTGTGCGCAACGCGGCTCTTGGCTGCATTAGTTGTTCTGTGACTGCAGTCAAGCCTGAATGTATGTGTATAACTTTTACTCACAGGCCCCAAATGACTAATTGTGTAAGAAAACCTGGGTCAGAGTTACTCTTTCCCATGAAAACACTAGAAGAGATTGGGCTGAGAAGGAAGTGTGAACTGTTCAGCTTGTCTCCCTGGGGCTTCTGAGCCAGTTGAAGGAGGGAGGGAGCAGCCTTAGAACAAGGCAGGGTGTCCAGGTGTGTCACCTCAGCTGGCCAGTGCCATGCCTAGGCTCACAGCTCTGCTCTGCGCCTCCCAACCAGCACCCCCTGGTGGGGACTTCCTCAGGCTTCTTCAGGCCTATTCCCACTGGCCAGGATGGGGAGTCAGACAGTCCCCAGACCTGGTTGCATCAGGTCCTTGGCCTCATGTCCAGCCTGGCCTCCTTCCATACCCTGAGGCCCCTGGACCTCGTCCCTCAGCCTCCAGGGAGGGAAACAGTTGCCCACAGCCTGGCTCGCACCCTGGTTTGGCACTCTTGACCCCTCCTTCCCTTGGGGGTCTCAGATTTCTCATGTACAAAAAGAAGGGGCCACTCTGAAGTATGTCAGTGCTCCCTGTTCTCTCTAACATTTCCTAACCATAGACCTGCGTGGATCACTAGAGAGGAAGCCTTGTGTGACAGGAAGACTTGGCTTGAGAACCAAACACACCTGGATGTCATCCCCGCTTCCCACTCACAGCCTGAGAGACTTGAACAAGTTACTTAACCACTGATCCAATGTCTTCTCGCCTGTGAGAAGAGTGCTAGTGTTCACTGTTAGTCTGGGGCCTTCAGGAGGCAGACACCAAGACAGGATTGGGCCTCGAGAGGTTTATTGGGGAAACACCTGTGATAGGTAAAGGAAGGCACAGAAGCGGTGGTGGGTCCAGAGGGCAGCAGCTGGGAGGTCCCTGAGCTGTGCTCCCTGAAGCAGGAGATCTGAGTAAAGCATTTTCATGGCTGCAGCACCCACTCCAGAGACCTGCTGTGAAAATCAGAGATAATGCCTATAAGGCCCTGTCACAGTGTCTGCCATAGAGAAGGTGCACAATCCGTGGTGGTGGTTGTGTAGCAGTTACAATTCATCTTCTTGTTAGGATTTGCTGTATGTCTCCAACAGGCCCTGGAGAGGCACTCTTAGCAGGTGTTTGGAAAGGTTGAACCCTCAAGGGACCTATAGGATTTCATTTCTATTTCCTGTCATACAGTGAGTCTATCCTTGGAATCATACCTCTCCCAGAAATGTCAACACAGGACCCAGGGCTCTCCGTTAAAATCAGTGACCCTTCTCCTTCCTGCTACACATCTGACAAGTTATGGATGACCCCCATGGACATTCCTAGGAAGCCCGAAGAACTTGCTTAATTCTCGCTCCAGTTTTAAGACTTGGGGGAATAGAGATTTCCTGCCTCCTCTAGAGTCTTGACCACTGTTGCCTTTGGAGAAACAGAGAAGTTGAAGCTTTTAACTAAACTGGAAAGGAGGTGGCTAACACCTTGTGTTTGCAGAGAGCTGTGTATTTACAAAGTGCCTCATATGCCTAAGGTACGTTCCCTCCAGTGTCCAGTACAAATATGGGATGGCAGAGACCTGGGTTCAAGTTCCAGTGATTAGCGGGTGAGCAGGGTCAGTTTTGTTAACATCCATGAGCTTCAGGTGCCTCCTCTGGAAATGGGAAGAGTAGCAGTACCTTCCTGGACAGTCACTTGTGGGTAAAAGTAGACGGTGAAGCACCTCAGTCGGCACTGGGAATATATTAGACTCCATAAGTCTGAATTGTACTTTTCCTTCTTGGATACAAGGTCAGGTTGCTGAAATAATGAAAGTTCTAAACCACAGGTGGAGCCTTGGCCTTGAGCCACCCAACAGTCATGCAGCCCAGTTTTCCTTTGTAGGTCCCTGCTGTGGAGGAGGCTGGGAGAACACGGAGACTTTGGTTAACTCAGCACCTTCTGTGTGTCAGGCAGAGCGCTAGGCATTTTGCATTCGAGGGCTCTTTAAGTTTTCTTACAAACCTGTGAAGTCCATAGTAATCACCTTCATGAATCGACTTACCTAGTCAGTGCTTCCTGTTGAACCCAAGTCTTTGGACTCCAAGCTCATGCTCTTTCTATAGCCAGGCCGGCTTCTAGTATGTCAATGAAAAGACGATTGAGAGGCACTGAGAAGTTCTGAGAGAGAACATGTGAAGGAGAAATCTAGAACCAGAACTCCCTGTTCCAGCCCCCAGGCCATCCCACAACAGTGCCACCTTTCCCACGGATCCTGGTCCCACAGACCAAGAATTAGGAGCCAGGGCAGAGTGGGCTTAGAGGGAGCACAGGACCGGTGGCAGAAGGGATCAGGGGACCTTGATCCTGCAGCCTGTGCTGGCCCAGGTTCAGTGTGGCTCCATTGCAGCCTCAGCCCCCTCTATGGCTGTGGCCAGTGTGACCCCCCAGGCTCTTTAGCATCCCGGTTCCGGAGCAGGTGGAAAGTAGGACCAGTGAAGAGCAAAGACACCAGAAACACTCAGAAATTTTTTTTTTTAACTTTTTAAGGGGACCCAGAAGAATGGTGAGCAAATGAGAAGTCTTTTTGACCAAAGCATATGGATGAAACGGAGCCTTGCCAGATCTCTTCACCTTGTCTGGAGGTCTTGGGTTGAGATGCCAGCTGGGAAGAGAGCTGCAGAATTCCCCCATCCGGGAGAATTCCTCCCACAGAGGGCTGCGTGTGGGCTCTGAGGTCTCAGCCTGTGTGGGCGGCAGCCTTTGCAGCTACCCCACACCCTGGCACCCACAGACCTGGTACTGGCCACTTAGTCTGCTGTGGACAGAGGTGGCCCTCTGCTGCCCTCTGGTGGCCATTGCCATCATGGTGCCAGCCTCTGGCCAGCTCAGCTTGGGGCTCCCTCTCCCCAGCACAGGTGGTTGGCACCTCCAGGATGTTGGGTACAGCCCTTCCTACCCCTGGTCTAGAGTTTCAGCCACCTTATAGGAGACACCCAGTCTTCATCTACTGGCTTCTCCCAAAAGAGATCCTGTCACCCTTGTCATTGCATCAGCTGTCCCACTGTGTGAGCCTGGACAGGCCATCCCAGCTCGCCAACAGCAGAAGTCTTTCTTGTTTCCCCAAGTTACTCTGTCCACCTGGTTCATCAGCAACATCCAAATGTACTCCTTTCTCCCTGGGACCCCAGGAGTCTCAGAGATCAAACAAACAGGTTACACATCTGTGTAGAGCCCCCACCGGGCTCATCTGTGCTGCCTCAGTCTTCAGCATGTTTTGTGAGGCAGAATCATGGACAGTGAACAGCACAGACTTTGGAGACCAGATGTCAGGGTTTGTTCTTGGACAAATCACTTCACCTCTCTGAGTCTCAGTTTTCCTGTCCCACCAAATGAGCGTGGCCTTTCCCTGGAGCAGACTCAAGGAGTAGCACTGCTGTATCCACAGATAACTGAAATCACATCCAAGCCTCTTGCCCCACGCCCTATGGACACAGACTCTAAACACCACTCTGGCCTCATCTACCAGGAGTGAGTCCACGCTCACTCCACTCCAGCCAGGCCACTCTTTTCTCACATCAAACGTGTCCCCACTCCAGGCCCTTTGTACATGCTATTTTCTCTACGTGGAGCACACTGCACGTGGCTAGCTCCTCCCCCATTCTATTTTTAGCTCTAAGGTCCCCTCTTCAGGGAAGCCTTTCTCATGACTAAAGCACTCTCTCCCCCAACCCACCTCCGTTGTCTCTCTCCCTTCACCCTGTTTTCTTTTCTCTGAACAGTTGTCACTATCTGAATTTACCTTATACATTCGTCTTGTTTATTATGCATATATTGTCCGATCCTCTCTGCACTCCATACACACCCTAGAAGGGAAGCTTATGAAAGCAGGGCACCCTTGTCTTTTTTTCCACCCCAGCACCTCAGACAAGGCACTCAGCACATACAGGTATTTGTTGAACAAATGAATTAATGAATGGGGTAAGTGGCTGAACATATGGCCATCACAGCTGCTCCTGGAGACACATCTGTCACTTGGGAATGCTGGCTCCGTACGTGTCACCTCCCTCCCCTCTCTAATCTGGACCCTCTCCACAGCTGTCCTGCTGACAGTGTGCTGCCTGAGGAGGAAGAAGAAGGCTGCCAACCCCGAGAACAACCTGAGCTACTGGAACAACGCCATCACCATGGACTATTTCAACAAGCACGCGGTGGAGTTGCCCAGGGAGATCCAGTCCCTGGAAACCTCTGAGGTAAGGAGCTCCAAGCCTAGGGGTGCCCCCTGGACATGCTGGCCCTGCTACCGGGAAAGTCACAGGCTCCAAAGAGAGCTGTGGAGCATCTGCTCACACCTAGGTGCCTTGCTCCTCAAAGCGTGGTCCACGGGCCAGCAGCAGCACCCCACAGGCTGCAGGCCCTGCCTGGCTCTACTGAAGCAGGATCTGCGTCCTCGCAAGACTCCCCGGGTGCTCTGTACACACGTTAAAGTTTTGGAATCACTGTTTCTGGGACTTTGGGTTTTTAGGAACAAGTCAACAAATATGCATTGAGGACCCATTTCGTGGCAGGCACTCACCAGGGACTGAAGGGGAGAGCTTGCTCTCAGGGAACCTAGATTTCAATGTGGTTGAGGTATGAACCCCCAAGTACCACTGAAAAACAGAACAAACTAGGGGAGATACAAGAAGAGTTACAGAGAGCTGTGGACACCGCGAGGAAAGTCTTCACAGTGGAGGTGCCAGGAAGGATAGATGGATTTCAGGAGATATTCCAGCAAAGGAAGTAGCCTGAGTAA